AAGGAAACTCTGCGAAAATTCCGTCATTACGAAAATCTTAAGACAAAAAACACATCCATAAGTGCACATGGATGCACTTTTGTACTTGTAAACACGTTCTTGTTCTCTCCCTGTACAGGGAGAGGTTTCCAAAATTTAATCAGACCACAACTGGTGGATTGGGTCAGATCATGAAAGTACCTCAAACTTGGGTAATTAAACCGTCGATGCTAGCGCAACGGTGGACAACCACCTCTGAGACGGCGTATTCGAAAATCCAGGTGTGCCAGGTGAGTGTGAAAAGCGGGGGGGGGGGGGCTGAGACAATCTGGACACTTCACAGGCCTTTTTCACCCCTTAGAATCGATCGTAACCCCTTGATTGCCCTGATTTATTAGATTCTGCGTGAAATTCTCTATCAAATAGTGATTATTGCAAGTCTCTAGCATGAATCTACGCAAAATTAGGGCATTTTGAAGGAAACTCTGCGAAAATTCCGTCATTACGAAAATCTTAAGACAAAAAACACATCCATAAGTGCACATGGATGCACTTTTGTACTTGTAAACACGTTCTTGTTCTCTCCCTGTACAGGGAGAGGTTTCCAAAATTTAATCAGACCACAACTGGTGGATTGGGTCAGATCATGAAAGTACCTCAAACTTGGGTAATTAAACCGTCGATGCTAGCGCAACGGTGGACAACCACCTCTGAGACGGCGTATTCGAAAATCCAGGTGTGCCAGGTGAGTGTGAAAAGCGGGGGGGGGGCTGAGACAATCTGGACACTTCACAGGCCTTTTTCACCCCTTAGAATCGATCGTAACCCCTTGATTGCCCTGATTTATTAGATTCTGCGTGAAATTCTCTATCAAATAGTGATTATTGCAAGTCTCTAGCATGAATCTACGCAAAATTAGGGCATTTTGAAGGAAACTCTGCGAAAATTCCGTCATTACGAAAATCTTAAGACAAAAAACACATCCATAAGTGCACATGGATGCACTTTTGTACTTGTAAACACGTTCTTGTTCTCTCCCTGTACAGGGAGAGGTTTCCAAAATTTAATCAGACCACAACTGGTGGATTGGGTCAGATCATGAAAGTACCTCAAACTTGGGTAATTAAACCGTCGATGCTAGCGCAACGGTGGACAACCACCTCTGAGACGGCGTATTCGAAAATCCAGGTGTGCCAGGTGAGTGTGAAAAGCGGGGGGGGGGGCTGAGACAATCTGGACACTTCACAGGCCTTTTTCACCCCTTAGAATCGATCGTAACCCCTTGATTGCCCTGATTTATTAGATTCTGCGTGAAATTCTCTATCAAATAGTGATTATTGCAAGTCTCTAGCATGAATCTACGCAAAATTAGGGCATTTTGAAGGAAACTCTGCGAAAATTCCGTCATTACGAAAATCTTAAGACAAAAAACACATCCATAAGTGCACATGGATGCACTTTTGTACTTGTAAACACGTTCTTGTTCTCTCCCTGTACAGGGAGAGGTTTCCAAAATTTAATCAGACCACAACTGGTGGATTGGGTCAGATCATGAAAGTACCTCAAACTTGGGTAATTAAACCGTCGATGCTAGCGCAACGGTGGACAACCACCTCTGAGACGGCGTATTCGAAAATCCAGGTGTGCCAGGTGAGTGTGAAAAGCGGGGGGGGGGCTGAGACAATCTGGACACTTCACAGGCCTTTTTCACCCCTTAGAATCGATCGTAACCCCTTGATTGCCCTGATTTATTAGATTCTGCGTGAAATTCTCTATCAAATAGTGATTATTGCAAGTCTCTAGCATGAATCTACGCAAAATTAGGGCATTTTGAAGGAAACTCTGCGAAAATTCCGTCATTACGAAAATCTTAAGACAAAAAACACATCCATAAGTGCACATGGATGCACTTTTGTACTTGTAAACACGTTCTTGTTCTCTCCCTGTACAGGGAGAGGTTTCCAAAATTTAATCAGACCACAACTGGTGGATTGGGTCAGATCATGAAAGTACCTCAAACTTGAGAAAGAAAAAGCGGGCATATACCCGCCAAGCGTGTATAGGCTGTACCAACCAGCATCGGTTATGCGACATCGCGCCTGCGGCAACTCGCGACGGTGCGGTGTGACGCGTGCGAACTCTGCTACGCGCCAAGGCATGTCGCATGCGACGGTGCGTCGTCGCAAAGCATACTGGCGCGGGACCGATGCTGGCTGATACAGCCTATATATGCCCGCTAGCCTTACCTAAAAATCAAATTTGCTTGTAACCCACCTCAAAATAAAGTTTGTGGTCTGAATTTGAGCAGACGTCGTTAACTGTCGCCGAAATCCATGTTATTTTGAGGGAATTTTGTCCACCATTATCAGTGATACGATCAATTTATCATTTATCGCCGATAACCCCATGAAATCGGATTATTTTTGGTTTACGGTAAGAAAAGAATCGTAGGAAGCGCTGTGCGTAATTTGATCAACCTATATGACATGGCGATTGAATTGCAAGCTTTCCTATTTCCAAGCTCTTTTTTAGCCCCCCCCCCCATTTTTTTTTCAGCCCCCCGTATGCAGTTTGAAGCAAGTTATGGTCAAAACACCCGCTTTAGGTAATTAAATGGAGCCTTGCGAGCCATGGCTCGCATTGCGAGAGATGGCTCGCATTTAATTACCTACGCATTTAGTTACCTATGCGAGCCATCTCTCGCAATGCGAGCCATCTCTCGCAATGCGAGCCATCTCCCGCAAAGCGAGCCATGGCTCGCAAGGCTCCATTTAATTACCTAAACCGGGTTTTTTGACCATAACTTGCTTCGAACTGCATATGGAGGGCTGAAAAAAATATGGTTAGTATAAGTTCATGAGACTTGTCTAACATGATTTTTGGGGGAATTACGGGGCAACTTTGAGGGAGCCGAATTTACGGCTTGAGCATGCATGTTGGGGTCCAATAACACTACCAATGTTACAGTTAAGGGGCCGGGTTTGTTTTATTCGACAGATCTATAAAAATATGATTTTTAGAAAGAAGGTAGTAGAATAACAAATTCCCATTATAAGTGCCTATTTGACAGCCGAAGTTGGGAAATCTGTCAATAAAGGCGACTTTGCCCCCTTATATCTCTATGAGTTGCAGGGTTGTGGTCATCTCATGTGGTCAACATGTAGCTTTGGAAGCTCTATTTTTCTCGTGGTAGCTCGTGCCCATAGCTTCAGCGCAGGAGGCGCTGTACAAAGGCGATGATGCATATTTTGAATTTTATCTCCGCGGAGACTAGGGCTGACGGGCTGGGATAGCCATTCTTCAGTTTGTATTAGAGGGGGACCCCACATATAATTCGGAGAAAATGCAGAGGCTCCGTCTGAGGGAGCCCATCTATAAAACTTCACGGATGTTTTTACTTTTATCCTCGCAATTTTTCCTCTTTCTCCCCCCTCATTTTCCCCCTCTCTTTATTACTGCAACGCGTGTGATAGTTACCCGGCGGCCATTTGGGCCTGGTTAGGGGCTGAAAACGGCTAGAAAGGGGGTAAATAGGGCTAGAAAAACGCGATTTTCGCTTATATCTCCTTATTTTCGCTAAATTTCCTTAATTTCGATCGTGGTGCGAAGTAGAAAGTGGACGGAGCTTGGTTGGAGAAGTTGCAGCTGTATAAAAGCAGTGGGATTGAGCTTATTTTACACTTTTTCGATTTTTTTGCTCAGTTTTCCGCTCATTTTGTAGGGTTGGGGTGCAGGTGGTCGGAGTCGAGAAGGGAAGTTGCGGAGCTTGCATTGAAGGTGCTTTGAGTGTGGTGGGCGGAGCTTTCATTTGTTGATTTATAGTTTTGCAGTGGAGGGTGAAAATGCTATGGTGATCACAATGGGTAAGTTTTGGCTGTTGAGGGAAAAGTGGGTGGACCTCGTGGTTGAACGGTATCTTGAGAGGTGGGCGGACCCTTGGGGACTATCGGGGTTGTGAATGGCAAAAATTGGCAAAATCGAAATTTTTGAGGTTGCGAAATCTCCAAGTTCTCCAAATCTCCGATTTTATCAATTTTTGACGATTTTCGGGATTTCGCAACCTCCAGAAGATCGATACTATCGATTTCTGAGAGATAAAAACCTCAAAAAGTTTATTTTAGTTCACAGCTTTTTATTGGGGCTACCAAGCCATCATTTCTTTCTACCTTGGAAGCATCCTCCTCAGAATTATGGGCAGAACAAAGCTGACCACATCACCGAAAACAGGAACTATGAGAAGGGGGTAGAAATTTAAGCGCATAAAAAACTAGATTGGCTTTGACGTGCATTTCGACTTAGTAAAAACAAAACAAAGCATTTTTATAATCAATTTTTTCCTCGTTTATCTACTTCTTGGTAATCGCCACTTCCGATACACAGTTTTATTTGGAACAACAATGAAGAAATTTGCGCTTACTCGTTTTCTCTGCGTGGATTGCCTGGTCCTAGATAGAAAACCTGCCGTGTGAAATGCCGCCAAATGAAAGATTTCGATCTCATTGCAACGTTTTTAACCGATTTTTAAGAGTTTCTTTTGCTTCTGCTTCTTGTTTTGCATGCATCTTTTTCACTTCTCTGAATTTCTATAAATAACCTTCACTTTTTATGTGGACAGATCTTCAACAATCTTCACTTTGAATCTCCTTCTCTAGGCTATCGAAGGTGTAGGCGATTTAAGCACGCAGAGACCGCGGACTTATCGGCGTCTCTCTAATCGAGCGCTCTTTCGTTTCTTTTACCATCTGCTGTCTCTTCCTTGCACCAACTATCTTCACCGAACGCAACGGCACCGTCTTTGCGTGTCATGGTTCGTGCATATGTACACAACTTTACTAGAGGTGATTCATTTATTTGCATGGTCAAAAATAAGAACATTCTTCACATATACCACAAATCATGTGCGTAGTCAATTTTACAGTGAGAGTGAAAACACTTATACACACTGATGAGCCATTAGCTCAACCGTCAGACATTACAGTGCGATTAAGATTATTATCATAACTACCTCTATCATAAGCTACCTACTCTGATGAAAGAACAAAAGTTTCTATGGTTGTGTCCTGAAGGCTAGGTGATGCATCTGACATCGTTGGAGAAACTGCTCTGTCACTGATGCTCAATAATACTTCATCCGGCTTGCTTCTATTTGAGGACAGTATAGGCGACAACCGGGAGGTGTTCGTTGTTGGAGGTTCCCCACTCATCGTATCGTCTATGTCCGAGATCACATCGTCCTATGTTTGGAAGTTTTACATCTTGAAGTCAAAGATATCAAGCATACAATTTTGGCTAGGCAGGGTTGATCAAACTGGATGCTTTTTTCTACTCAAACAGTTTACCGGATTTTCCGCAGGACAAGCAAAATCTGCAGCGCTTCCGCAGTATTTGGTTTACTATTGCCAAAGGGGAAAAGTCAAAAAAAGAACTTCCGCAAGATTTTCACGTCAGACTGGTTGAAAACGGGAATTTCCGCAGAACTTTTTACAACACGCTGCGGAAATCCCCGAAAAATGCTCGCGGTTCCGCAACACTTTGACTGGACTACTTCCGCAGCACTTTAAATCTGTTGGCTGTTGCCCCGCCAACAACTAAGTGCATTGTTATTCGTAGTGCAGACGATAGTGAGTGATCCACGGTCAATAGAGCAACGTTCGAATCTCGCTAAGGATTCTCTTTTGCTGTTGTGGTTCGCATTCTTCGGAAACGCAGCACCCAGTTAGAAGCTTCGTAGTACTTCCCTTTAGGGAACTTCCGCAGGTGACCAGGCGGAATTTTCCCTAACGTACGGGGGAAGTTCCGGTTACTTGTTTGAGTATGTGAAGTGATGGAGAGGCCTGCTAACAATAAGCCATTCCCAAGTGGCAGCTCAAATCTTATATATAAAGCTGAATGTCTGTTTGTCTGTATGTCTGTCTGTATGTCTGTCTGTCTGTATGTATGTGTGTACGTATGTTCCGAATAGAAAATTCCATTTCTGAACCGATCGGGACCAAACTTGGCACACATACACTTCGGGCCCCGGCGGGTGTCATAGGCTACTTTTCGTCATCGATCGATATCGATTTTATCGATTTTTATCGATTTTTTTGCTGAGTTCACCTACGGGGCTGGGAGTTGGCACAGGGGGGTAATCGAGCATGGGGATTCCGAATACAATATTGGTTTTCAGGATTATCGATTACTTTTATCGATTTTATCGATTTTTTTGCAAACTTTGAGCTACGGGGCTGGGAGTTTGCACAGGGGGGTAATCGAGCATGGGGATTCCGAATACAATATTGGTTTTCGGGATTATCGATTACTTTTATCGATTTTATCGATTTTTTTGCAAAGTTTGAGCTAGGGGGCTGGGAGTTGGCACAGGGGGGTAATCGAGCATGCTGATCACTCCCAAGGGGGGTGATCAGCATGCTCGATTACACCCCTGTGCCAAATTCCAGCCCCCTAGCTCAAATTTTCAAAAAATCGATAAAATCGGTAAAAGTAATGGACGATCTTGAAAACTAATATTGTATTCGTAATCTGCATGCTCGATTACCCCCCTGTGCAAACTCCGAGCCCCGCAGGTCAAACTTTACAAAAAAAATCGATAAAATCGATAAAAGTAATGGACGATCCTGAAAACTAATATTGTGTTCGTAATCAGCATGCTCGATTACCCCCTGTGCAAAATCCCAGCCTCGCATGTCAAAATTTACAAAAAATCGATAAAATCAATAAAAGTAATCGATAATTCTGAAAACTAATATTGTATTTGGAATCCTCATGCTCACTTCCCCCCCTGTGCCAACTCCTAGCCCTGTGGGTGAACTCTGCAAAAAAATCGATAAAAATCGGTAAAATCGACATCGATCGATAACGAAAAGTGGACTGTGACACCCGCCGGGGCTCGAAGTGTATGTGTGCCAAGTTTGGTCCGGATACGGCGGAGCCGGGTAAGCCAGCTAGTAGCTCATAAATCTGTCGTACGCATCGTCTGAGCTGAAGTTCAGAGCTGAATTTTGGCCTGCGAATGAAACATCTGACCTACACTTTGAGAAGCTGTTTAACTAAAGCCTCCCATTCAGTTCTCATGTGAGAAGTTCTAAGTCCAGTGGCCGTATTCATCAACGAACCCTCAAGGTTAAAATCTACCTCGGTTAGCATTTTGGCCTACAACCCGTATTCACAAGATGATCGCAATGAAATTTTCTCACGGGTTAAGTCTAACTTGAGGTAGAAATGAACCTCGGAACGCATAAACCCGTATTCATCATTCTACCTTGAGATTAAAATCTACCTTGAGGCATGCTCTCAAGGTAGAATTTAACCTCAAGGTTCGTTGATGAATACCGCCACAGATTTGCCTGGATAGCTTTTTTCAACCAAGCCGTTATAGTGGGATTACCTGGAAGCGTACTACAGTCTTCCTTGGCTCCATATCTAGCAGTTCATCTTCTGAGTCAACAAACATCGGGAATTGGCCGTCCTAGAAGCACTGACGCGATTGTGAGAGCGAATAGGATGAAGGCAAGCCAAACCTTCATAAATAAAGGCACAAGCTCAGGAGGCCATATTCCTTCGACAATCATATGAGTTTGCGGAACTCTTGATAATCTGCCCATTTTCACATCTATGGCAGCCTAAAACACTTTCATGTCTTTTTCAAACATTTTTTCTCAAACTTACTCTAATAAGGTTCTCCAGATCGATGTCAGCCATGACGTGCTCGCTGATCCCAATGTTCTGACCTACAGCTGTGATTAACTCCTTCACTTGTAAGCTAAATGGGCCGTGCGCTTTCGCTACTACTCTTCAAGAGAAACAAAACCTACTTCCTTGCTCCAAACCAAATGCGAATATTAGCAATGTTCCTGAGTTTGCGACCAATGTAGTGTAGCTTTCGAACATAATAAGAGCCGATATCTTGAAATGACCATAGTCAGAAGATTCAAAATTGTGAAAACGTTCTCGTAGATGAATTCGTGTTCCATTTTATCTCATTAAACCTTCCGATACTTGCGTTTCCTATACCTTAGTCTGTTTTCAAAAGACTCTCTTCATATTTCGTGAAATATTTTAAATGAGTGATGTGTGAGCTCAAACTATGGCTCAGAGGAGAAACACCGTGATTATCAAATCAGAAAATAAGAAATGGTAAATAAAATAATCTTACCTAATGCAATGGTGGAAATAGCCAAGCCTAAGCAGACATAGATAATTATAATAGGAATGTACCAGTTACTGAAACGAAGTCATTATTTTTTTGTAATAAGGTATCCATTCTAAAAACGCGTTCTTGTTATTTGAAACACCACCGATTCTTCTCCTTTTGCATCGCATTTAAGGCATATGTATTGATGAGATTGGTGTCATACAAAAGATATTTGTTAGAATAATTTCTTTTTCCTCTCATCATTTTGCATAACTAATTTGGTTTATTATGCTCTTGAGATTCCATTGGGAATTTGAAACAATACTAGCAAATGTTCAGGCAAGACTACTCACAGTCCAAAGAAACTTCAGAGTCTCCTAGCCAGAACACATACTCCGCAAAAAGGTTGTAAAAGTTGCTTAGTATAACCCATGTACAGTGAAAGCCATTCATTTGCATGTTCAGTTTCATTATCCAAATCGTTACAAAACGCCCCCACAAGAAAAAAAATTTGACATAAAAAAGTTGATGAATTTGACTACGGTAGTTGAAAATGAGGTTGGTTACCCCTGAAATAAGCTTTAACTGTACGAAATTTTGCAAACATACTTGTCAGGAACGAGATCTCCGTATTCGATAGCAGTCAGGCAGATAAATGCAAAATAAATACCATTAAGAAAGTCGAATTCTCCTCGCAGCATTGGTATAAACAGCGCTCCTAAGATCTAAAAAATAATTGTTCTGATATTGCCAACAGCCGTCTAGTTGATTACAGCAGTTGTCGTTCAGGATTCAAATTTTCAGACAATTCACCGAAACTTTCGAAGGACAAGTCAAATTTGCAACGGTTCCGCAGGATTTTCTTTATATTACAGAAGTGGGAACGTTGGAAATGGGAACTTCAGCGGGATTTGCACGTAGATTGGTTGAAAACGGAACTTCCGCAGGACTCGTTGCAAGGCGCTGCGGAAATTTCGAAAAATGCCAGTGGTTCCGCAGCACTTCTCCCTTCCAGCACTTCCGCAAGACTTTGAATGTTTTTTCTTCGACGATGTTGTCTCGCCAACAACTGAAGCGCTTTCTTAAACATGTTTTCCGTAGGCGTAGGTGCAGTGAGTGAGTCTCGAGTCAATACATATAGTAAGGTTTATTCTCAGCTTACAATGAGCAGCTTGTTAGCAAATCTGTCTCTGTTCAAACAAAAACGATTCTATTTCTACTCTGAGAAACTGACCAGATATATAATCATAATAAAGAATAAAGTGGTGCCATTGATGGTGTCATCGTCGTCGTTCTCCTCCTGTAAAATATCGTCTCGATCTTCTCTCTGCAATACGGGAAGATTTGATCTTGAAAAAAACCAGAATGAGGGTTAATGGTGTCAACTGGAGGTTGTGGTGATGTCCAAAAGTTTATGATACGCAGTGCTATGGGATCTTGTTTGAGGTATCAATTAAGAGAACAACTGTTAGAGTTGGACGTAAAATTCGGACCAAAAAACCATAAAAATTCGTAATTTCGTCTTCAAACTTCGTTTTGCATTTATTAGAGGTTCATTTGGACAGCTGAAATTGCTAGAGGATTCAGAAATGTCTGGTTTTAGTAACCTAATTGATTGCTGCCTTTCATACTTAGGGCCGAATATCTTTCGAATATATGTATTCGAATGATTTATCCAAACTAGAGAAGTCGAATATTGGGGAAAGTGCATTTATTCGATCATTCGAACAGTCGAGTAAATAAAAAAGACCTTTATTCGAATACTGGTTTACTCGACGAATCGAAAAAACTCAATTAACAAAACTCAAAATTTTTATTCGAATATTCGAATATTTGAATGAAAATTCAAATAAGTCGTTTTTTTCGATTTGCTCAATAAACAACTATTCGATTTACTTTCGATTTTAAAATATATAATGTAAACATGTAACAAGATTGTCTTATCCTAAAAAAGTTGCGGATTGCAACTGATGACTGATTTTTTGCAGCTTTTCAGTGTTCTTGGTTTAAGGCTTATGTGTAAAATATAGCATGCCAAAAATAGCCACGCTCTTGGATTACCGACAAAAACTCATAAACGAACATATTTCTTATCAGTCAAATTCGTCTAAAGCCTGACTTTTGTGCTTGTCAAGATAAAGCTAGAAAATGCTACCTTATTGTTAGTGAGGAGCCGCTTGAATTTTTGCGTCAACTGCTCCAAATAGCGTCCGAGATTCGTCAGCAAGATCACAGTGGCTGGGATACCGATGAAGCCGTAAATCACGGTGAATAATCGTCCATTCGGAGTTCGTGGCTCGACTTTTCCGTACCCTGTGGAAACAAAAGCTCAAGTCTTGCTCGGTCGTTTGTAACTTTTCGCACCCCAAACCCCAATTCCGTCACATTCCTTATATTTGCACGCGTACAAACCCTAGGGATTCGGCGCAACTCATGCAACTTTTCACCCGATGAATCTGCCAAAATGTTGACTCCCTCCGGATGAAAAGTGGATAACTCGTACTTCACTCACCCAGTGTAGTGAGGATGCCAAAGCCGTAGAGCGAGGCTGACTTGAAGGACCATTCTAGGCGAGGATCTGCCTGAGCATCAGTGAGACACTGCTCGGCGATAATTCGAGCAAAATCTGCTTCGCGGGAAACTCGCAGAGGGTGGTCTCTAAAGCAAAATAATCATAACCCTTCAGCAAAGCGTCTTTTTCAGGTTAAACAAATAAAGTCCTTCGTAACAAAACTTACAAATATCGCTTTTATAACGTGCCGGTTATGTATTCTTGTAATTTTTCTATAGAATTCTGAAAAGCAATAAGAAAATCATTGTTTTGCAAGCATATTAAAGCTGCAAGATTTCGGTATTCACGTAACGGAAAAGATGAGCAGAGATGAGCTCAAATACAAATATCGTCATGCCTTAAATTCTCCATCGAAGTCAAAAAATCGGCAAAGGAGCAAGGAGAATCATTCATTTGGAACAGTGCTACTTCTAGACATTTGGAACCTTGATGCGTTTTTCAGCAGTAACTTTCCCTCCCCCCTCCCCCTTCTCCCATGATAAGCATCGCAGATACACATTTTGGCCACAAGTAAGTCAAAAAGATCTTTTCAACGATAATGGCAAAGATATTAGTCATCAGACTTACAGTAACAGTCAAGTGGAATAATAAATTAAAAAACCATTAATTATCAAATTCTCAAGAAATCAAGGTAAAAATTTTAGAAAGGAGAAAAAAGAGTTTTTGGATGCGTATAAAGACCGTACATACACTGCAATTTGCAATAAAAAAATAGGATTTAGTATTAGCGACAACAACTCTCGTTTAGCTAATCTGCGAAATGCAAAGGTCTGCGTCTCTACTTTATAGGATATGGGCTCTTCGTTCGATAAGATGAATATTTAGCATTTGAGCTTAAGCTTTTTTGCTGGGCACATATCTTGCTTTTCGATTAATAATTAATCTTTCGTATCCACAAAATCATGGTTACGCTGTGCACATATTCCCCTGCTTTCACAGCATTAAGTCTCGTCTCATCCATTAGCCAAAGATTGCGTTTAGAAATGCATAACGACTTTGTCTTCCTAATTAGCAAAGTAACGTCTGTTTCTTACTACTTTGAATGAAAAAAAAAACTCTTGAATGCTTTCTGTAGTTCAAGCGCAGGAATTTTGCTATAAATAAAAGTGCATATCAATATGTATACTTGAAATCATGACAACCCATCTGATAACTGTTTATGTTCGAGGACTGCATGAAGCGAAATTATGGATTGAACCAGTAATAAAAAGTTTGGTGGAGTCGCTTCACTTCAGAAAGCAGTGTTTTGCTTATCCGATGCTTTTATCTCCTGATAAAAGCAGCAGCTCCAACAGTGAAAACATCAACAGGTGTTCTCAAGGCTCCTTCATGGAACTTTCAGTCTTTGAGTCTTGAACTGATGAGAAAACTCCTGCTGCAACCTGTTATTATCTCATATGCAAACCCATTACGTTCTTCGCATATTTTTTTTTTGACATAAATCATTTCAAGAGATGAATTTCGAGTACTTCTTGTAAAGCTATAAGTTTTCAATGCCAGATGTTTCTAAGCTGCCGTTGTAATCAACTACGTTATCTACCTATTATTCGATAGACAGAAAATACAGTGCAAGCTGTTAACAAAAACACCCCTTTTTTTACATAAATCATTAACGTCGTAGTTACGTTAAGATTCTGCAGGGCATAATCGAGACCAGCATTGGTGCACATAGAGCAACCTCTGCCCTTGTTTGAATCGGAACCAATTCAAAATCAATTAAAGAAGATATTTTCTTTGTGAAAATTATGAATGTGTGCAGAAAATGCGGCAATACTCGACGAATGCGAAGGAATACTGTTTGGTTTTATCTATTTATTTTTTGAAAGAGTGAAGCCACTGTGCTACCAGTAGTGGAACAAATATAAGCGCTCGCTATTCTTCAAAAATGCTGCATATGCATCAAATTGTAATGTTCTAGGTCGTCAGCTAAGTTCTGCTCTCCTCTCTCGATAGAATAGACGATAAAATTTTCTAGGGAAAATATATATAGATCGACGCAAATCTAATAGTCATTTTCAAAGAGTTTTTCGCCTTTGTCTTCAAGGGTTATGGTAGTTAAGCGATAGGGAAAAAGTCATGATTATGACTACAAAATTAGTTGTCATTCAATATAGAGCTTTTTTGCAGCAGTGAATAAGAATTACTGCACAATTTTTGAGCTGATTATTCCAAAACTTCATTATTCATAATGTTAATAGGAATGGGAACCCCCACTCTTGTATTGGTTTATCATATAATACAAAGTAAACAAATCTCCTAAATGTCCTCAAAGTCCGAATAAATATTTTCGCCATAGTTTTTGCCTCAAATTTCACACTGTGGTCTTATACTTTGATTTAGAAGTCTAGGTTCTGTGACGAAAGTAAACACTGGTTTGGCTACCAGAAATCCTCGCCCTATCGTCATGCATCTCAATTGTGGAATAGAAGAACGAGAAGGACATGACAAACGAACCCCGATAACAGCTTCTCGATGCATGCTTTTTTCGTGAGCGTGTCGTTGCGTTTGACGAATTGAGCGTAATTGTGCTCGAAATGGAGGAAAATGTAGCCGCCAATCAGAGTGTAAGCGATCAGGAAAATGATAACGACCGCGTTAACCAGTACAGCTTTTTGATGGCGATGAAAACACTAAATCGAGCAATGGTCAGTAGCAGCCATGCTTGAATTGAATGCTCTTGAATTGAATGGCACTCACCGAACGTATCATTAGAACGTGGAATAGGACCATAACAGTGAGTTCAGCAGGAATATAGGACTAGTAAACATCGGAGAATGATTTGTGAGCAGATACAAGGCATGGAAACATGATGTAACTTTCAAAATGATTCCACTTTCCCGATGTGTCCTGAAAAAAAAAACGCTACCAGCCTGATCAATAGGATGAAGGATAAATGTTGTGGCGTCTTAAACAACTGAAATCCAGAGAAATCACGAAGATATGAGCTTGGCGGAAAGAGAAATATGAGAAATTGCTGCATACTTTGAGTTGAACAATGTAAATCATTTACCTTTGAGCAGGAACAGCCTTATTAATAGCGCTGAATGTTTTTTTTCCAAAAAAAACTTGGTTCTTAGTAAATTCTCAGGCTTGCATGGGTAAAAGAATAAAAATAGGGGCTCATAGTTCTGGCATCGATCCCATCTCTTCGGAAGATTGAACAGCTAGGGACTATTTGCTTGCCTTTTATGGAAAAATAGAATTTTTTGCATTCTTTCTGTATGAATAGAAAAACTATGCTAATTTCACGAGTACAAGACGCACCTTTTTCACTTTTTCAAGCAAGCAGCTTGGCCACGCACTGTGCACAGGGAAATCTCACAGTCCCTACAGGTGAGGCGCAGCACGTTAGGGAGTCCTTAAATAGCAGATCACTTGGTGTGTTCAAGCTGTTCTTGAAAAAAAGGTGTGTCCTGTACTCGCGAACTTAGGGTAGCAAGAAGCAAATTATTGGAAAATGGTTTCATGAAGGGAAGGGGTGGCGTAGTGGTATGAGGCGCCGCTATGACCAAATCGGACCCCGGGTCGATCCCGTAACGGGCTGGAGAGTAGAGGGCTTGCTTGACTCGGTATTCCCGTCCCGGGTCAACCAAGCCCTCTACTCTCCAGGGTTGGTATCTGGGAAAATAAAAGCATGACATAGTAATTGAGTAGCCCGCGCATGTCACTGTAAAAAGCCTGAACGCATAGTAACCTCCTCGACTGAAGTAGAGCGCGTTTGACGCATGCCCGTAAAGGGCATTAAAAATGCCGAATCCTTTATCCTTTATTATTAGGTTAACGACAAAGAAAGATTAGGAGTTGGATTAGAGCAGCACCGAAGCTTCAGAAACTAATCGAAAACGGAAGGGAGTGATATGCCTAAAATAGAATTTTGACACGAAAACAGCACGATTTATGGCCGTATTTGTCGGAACAACATGGACATAGGAATTATGTATGAGTAACTTTTATAAGAGCAATTTCTGTTATGAAAGCATCAAAAGGAATTCTTTGCAAGAGGGCGTGAGTAAGACTTCTCAGAATGAGTCAATTCAGGCATCTTTGCTAAAATCGAGTCTCCAGAGCTCCTGAATTTTCTGAAAATATCGTCAAATTAGAGATTTTTGAGAGAGAAACAAGAGTTGGAAGCGGGTGGGAGTTCGAAGCATCTCAATTTTCTCGGAGGTGTTTTTCTTCGCTGCCGACATTTGGTTGCTCAGAAAGTTCTATTCATCGACAAAGCGCCTCTTGGGAGCAAAGTGGGCGGGTGTTTCCATCGCACTAAACAGAAGCTGCTTGAGTGGTCTCAGCCGAAAAAATCAGCATGGGGTAACATAAGGCAAAGTCATTAATTATTGATATCAAGGCAGGCACTTGGTACTAACGTTGTGTTCACAAAAGAAACGTATCGAGAATATAATATATAGTTCCAGGTGAAATCTTACCAAAGATTAAGGCAGGAGGTTCCACAAACCCTAATTGTCCTTCGTCATACAGAGCTACGATGCAAAATTCCAGCTCGGTTTCAATCGATTTTAATTTAAGGAACTTGGAAGCATCGAATAAATACTAAAGTCTGACAGCTAACAAAAATTTTCCATTGAAAATGCTTGTTAAAAGAGTGCTCATTGTTCAACCACTGCCGCTATTAATGACCTTTTTTTCAAGATTTCTGAGCCATGCAAGAAGAACTTAAACAGAAAAAATCGACTGAACAAACAAAGGGTGCATGTGGATGAATTAATGAGCCAAAGTTCTTCATTAGTGAGCTTCTAATTTACATCATTGTGAAACGCCAAGGCGAGCCATTTGCATTTCCTCATTAGGCATGAGCAGCATATTGTTGGCAAGTTGCTTCGAAATTTTTTATTCAAAACCACAAAAGCTGTGAGACTTCAGGCTTTCAAACAATTTTAACGATTCATGGTATCACCTGCGATGCCGCTAAAGTCTGTAGATTCGTCGTAAATTACTGTGCGAGGTTCATCTAGACTTTGTTGGTATAGTATCTGCCGCTTATAGCTGAACGAGAGTTATCCAACAACTTAATAAATAGAATTGCAATTGCCTCTTATTTGTTCAACTATGCATAGAACGAGTAGGTATACGATTAGTTTATAACGTGTTTTTAGAGAAGTCGATATGATTCTATTATCTGCTAGGATACTTTAGAGTTGATAGAACGCATTAGTAACATGGGGGGCTTCCGCATTTGCGTAATAATAGGACGCCGAAATTTCATCATTAATCAAAAGCTAAACAAATTTCACTAAGTTGGCAGTCAGCGATCTAGCGATCTACAAATCTGGTAGGACATCGAATAATTTGAAGCAGCTATGGGCAAAATAGTAACTTTCAGCTATCAAACAAACATATTCTGAAGTTGAATCCGCGGTTACCCCCGCGTTTTTTTTGTTGTTGAAAGAGCCCTTACTACGGCTGCGAAGTGTTTATGCGAAAGAGAAGATTATTATCGAAATTGATTTCGAAAATGTACAAATCTGACCAATTTCAGTATAATCTTTGAGCTCAGCCATCTTGTAGTAATGAGACATCTCTTCTCTATTTTTTTACCCACTCTATTATACCCGCTCAAGTATATGTAGCAGTGAAATACAGATACTCAATAGCACGCTCTACCACACTATGAAAATACGAGTACTATCAAATTAGATTGCAGATTATGTGGTATAAACTATCCATTGAAGTTTCTGGCACTTCACTATGTTATCACTGTTTTTATTTTGAAGGAAAAATTGCTTCCTGAATGGATCTGCCTCATTTGTCAGAGATATATATTATGAAGCTGAGAAAGGAGCCAGAGTGGTTTTCGCTTATTACTACTGAAACTCTCGATTAAAGCCAAGTAACCCTTGCTTCCACATCCTGCGATAAATTTTCGTACACTAACCATACTATTAGTATATTGCATGGCTTGTATTATTTTCCTTGTGTATTCTCTAGAGGGTGAGTTTGTTGTTATAAGATTCTCAAAGATTGTATTTCCCATGAGGAATGTAGCATACGAAGAAAAAAAGCATGTATGAGGATGATCAAGGCGCAGCTGAAAAAGGCCTTATAAAAAGTTGAAATAGCTGTGAATAACCCTAATCAACACGGCCAACTGCGCTTGAGAGAAAGAATTTCAGGGAGTTCTAACGAAACCTAAATCAATTACCATGTAGGAAGTAGGTCAAAGAATATTTTCGCTTTTTTATGCAAGCATCATGATCTTTGATCAGGAGATCAAAGGTGTTTTGCTATTAAAATAGTGAGGTTCAGTAGAACTTTGCTCGTGTTGTTCCAAATGTGACTGCGACCTTTTCAGTTCACTGGGGTCTTGATTAATCACCAAGTTCGAAGATCTTCTTGCAGCTATGCGCTATCTATTCCAAATGCCGCAAAGACGTCCCTATAACGTACATCCCTTTCTGGTGAATCTAATGAAAAGCGAGTCCATCAAATCAAAAAGAGGTAACAATTTTGAAAAATAACGAGAAAGAACTTTTTGAAAAAAGTGCTGTACAAGCAATGCTTCAAGAGGAAAAATCGTTTGAGGTGCATTGTTGACAGCTGAACGCAAGCCAATTGCACTGTGATCGAAATGCAATTCTACCCTTGATGTCAAAATAAGGAGTGAAAGAAATTGGATCAACCCTGAGTGGGACTTCAGAAATTGGAGATGAAATCAAACAGAGAGAATGAGATGATTTCGTGAATTTACAAAGCAAAACCGAGCAGGGAAATCTAGTGGGTGTTTAGGGAGGGGGTCGCGCATCATAAAGTGGCCAATAAAGTGCGGCCAAGTATCGGAAGGGACCCCTCGGCTACTTGTCGTGAAACAGAGACGACAACATCGAAACGCCGGCTGGACAAGTGAAGCAATCATGCAGTTGCCCTAGCCGCTTCCCCTTCCCGATTCCCATCGGACCTTTGAAATCGCAGCTGATGTAGCGGAAATCACAGAATACAGAAAAGATCGCTTCGTTTAAGCGAAGTGAAGTCCTGTCCTTTGACTTCGTTTTATTTTCTAATAATCTACCGCTACTGTAATTATTTTTCACCTTGACTTACTTGAGATGAATTTTATCAAATCCTTCATTATCCTTGATGCATAATCACACAATATTTATTTACATAAGGCCAAATTGTTTGGCTAAGTTGATCAACGAGTCATTACGTTAATTCCTTTTAAATCAGGTGTCATGGAGATCTCGAAACTCCGCCGGCGAACTTTGACTAAATTTTTTTGTTGTGTTAAAATTTGTTATAAATACACCGGTTTCAATAGTACCCATTAACTTGCTTCTGCGGACGTTACCAGCTGCTCGTTTACAGAAGTACAGAGTTTTATATGCTTTGGATTCCCGTAAACCTCCAAAATTCCTCAGAATGTGCTTTAGAGGATGGAATCCAGGTAAACCATATATTTTTGGAGAGGAGCACGAAACGGATTCGATGATCTTACTACCGCTGTCGCTACTGCATCGGCGAAGGTACATTTCAAATTTGATTTGCCTACATAACATGCTAGAAAACCCGGTATGCGAACAATTCAGAATTTTCTAGGGTTTTTTTAATGAGCTGATATGCGGCGAAAGCAAAAGATTTTGGAGACATTTATAAGTCCGCTAACGCACGAAAAATAGTAATGCAAATCGTCATGAGTGAGAAAAAATCTAAAAATCTCTTAAGATTGTGATGAGTGTTGAACAAAGAATATTCTTATCTTAAAAAATTATACGGTA